CTGGCATTCCGACCATTAGCGGCTTCAAGGCACATTGCTTTCACTTCAGTTACTAGGACTCACGAAAGATTCGAGGATGCATGCTTTTACATCCTTGAGTTGCTGCTACTATATTTCCTTCTTCTCCTACCCGCCAGAGACTAAGCTTGGGAAATTCGAAGATTGAGACGGGGTTGAGGTAAAGTGATGTCTGCAGAAGGAACAGAGGTATTCCCACACAGCCGCACCCGTATGGCACAGCGAGACGGCCTTGAATGTTGCAAGGGGTGAATTATCAAGCTGTTGCACACGTGCGCGATTCCTTTGATTGGCGGGGGTGATGAGGCTGTCGGGAGGCTCTCTTTCTTCCTTTTTCTCCGATGCAGGCTTTGGGCTTATCTAGGCTTAGCTTGGGGTACCCTGCTCACAGGGCGTACTTGTAACGACCTGCAGGCCCAGCCAGGCCATCAATCTGATTCTCAGGTATGTGGTGTTGGACTGCTTGTGCACCATCTTGTCCTGATGCAATACATGGAAACAAGGCTCCGTGCCACGTGCTTGTTGCGAACCAGCGACACGCCTCGTGTTTGCCATATGTATGTTCAGTTCAGTCTTCTTTGCAAACCCCAGATGTTTCAGCTGTTTCGGAACTGCATGCTGTGGACAAGCCAGTGTGTCTCTGGAGGCCTTCCGAGTTGTCCGCGTGACGCGCTTCTTGAAGACGCTGCGAGTTCTGAGCCTCTACGAATGTTTTTGACAGAAGGTGCAATAGGAATAAAGCAGGTGCACATTTTGGGCCTCAGATAATGGCCAAATCAGCGTGGAGAGAAGAACCCACGAAGAATCACGGGGTATCCTGCATGGTTGAGCAAACCGCGCACAGATCAGAGACTTTCACCTATGCCTGTTCGAAAAAAGCACGGAAACTCAGGCGAATCTTCCAGTTTGTCTTGGCACTCCGTACTCTGCTGACCTCGATCATGCTCCTCGACAGATGGACTTCAACGGGTTAGGAAAATTTGTATGGTCAGAGCAGTCCCGCTCATCGGCTCTGGGTGGCCTTGTGTCAATCTAACAATGACAAACCTGCCAATCAATTTTACCTCAGGCTCGCACATGGCTGTGTAGAGTGTGTGGAACTTGAGGTGATTCATCTGAAGCCTAAACATCCCCAATGCATTCCCCAAAGGTTCACTTTGAAGTCCCTATTTTGGGCACTGGCCCTGCTGTTGCTCATCGTGCACCGCCGCTGCATGAGCTTGATGCCCGCGCTCTGTGTCCCCGTGTTTGTCAGGGGACTGCTTCAAGTGATTGGGTCTTTGCTGGGGTCCTGTTGGGCCCAGCCCGGTAGGTCCGGAGTTTTGGATAACATAGTTAAGGACATGCCTCCATATCATATATATATAGAGAGACAGAGAGACCATACGCAGATATACGCGTATGGGAGGCCTCTTTAGAAACACCACACGTAGAGCTTCCTGTACAGAAGCTATAAAAAGGGGCTGCGTTTCGTTGCATGGGGTCTTTTTTTTGGTGTGTGTGTGTGTGGGGGGGGGGGGAGGGTTGTGAACTATGGTGGGCGCAGGGTGACGGTCGAGTTGTAGGGGTCTAGAACGCGCTGCACTACACAAGCGCTGTCAAACACAAGGGGTGTGTTCAGACCCTGTACTGAGTGACATAGAGACCCTGCACGGGTGGGACAGGCTTTCGCACTCAAAAAAGCGGAGGTTCCCGCAGTCTTGCGCCCTTGTTTGTTATGATCAGAACAAAGTCTGTTATATCTTGACGTTTATGACAGTAACTCACATCTGTTGGCTAGTGGTCCACTGAAGCCAGGAAAGGCAAAACATCAACAAATTGAGCGACTTATATATGGAATCATAGCCATGTAGCTGCCAAGGTATGTCTTCGGAGTTCTTATTTCGCAGGGCGTGAATGACCACATCCACGATCCCTCCTCCATGGCGCTGTCCGACCAGGTTGGCGGACTACAAACCATCAGCTTAAGCGGCATCGACGTCTCATGAATGCTTCACTTTGGAGCTTTGTTTGCTGACTAGTTTGCTATTCAAAGCTCTAACCTAGCAGCAACAGCTGTGCGTAAGCACTTGTTGTTCTGCTTGATTATACGCCATTGCTGTGAGCAAAGTCGTCGACGTCCCTCCCACTACCATCTCATACATAGTCAGTAACTAGTTCGGACATGCAGTGCCAATTACTACTGTATGTACAAGTTGCTCACGGCTTACGGGCGAGAAGAAGGCAGCAGCAATCCTAGCCTGGAGTTCACGGCTTCCGAGACCTAAGCTAGCGTGAGGCTATCATTGTGCGATGCAGGAGGTAGTTGCGATCTGGAGTCTCGGTTGGGTCAAACATCCTGGAAAACTTATAGGCCATTTCTTTCCAGAATCTGCTGAGCCTTGCTAGACTCTGACTGGTGTACCTGAATCCATTTCGCAAAATGTACAGGACAAGTTTGCTGTGCATCGTTTCTTCCGGTCGCTTCCGCAGACCATGCTCACCCTGCCCCTGGGATGCGCAAGACAGTGTAAGCAATGACTGTAGGGTACCACAGGATGTGGGTGTTGCAGATGGCGACTATCTTTTGCTGGCCAGAAGGTTCATCAATCGAGTTGCTGATCTCAGATGTATGTTTGAACTTAAGCGCTGCGGCTGCATGTGACAAATGTGTCCAGCGCGTGAGCATCTCGAATATTCTCATGGAACATTTTGGCAAGCTAACAAAAGAGCGCGCTCGTGAGGCTACCTCAACTTAGCGTCCCGAAGTCTTGTCTGCTATTTCTGCAGAAGATGCAAATTACCAGCAGCGCAATGTACATTGCACCCAGGGTCCAACACAGTTGGTTTGTTTCTCAGGTTGAAGGTGTTGGCGGTAAAGCCCTACAGTAGGACCCTCCCCCTATGCAAGCGACATCATGGATGAAGCTAAGGTTCATGAGCATTGCAGGAGGAGTGAGCTGGGAGGAGGTCGGCAGTGTCAACATTTACATATTAGAGTCTTTGAGGGCCGCATTCCGTGTCCTTGAAGCAAGCTTGTTCCAGGCTCCTTGTCTGCTGATGTGTCTCATCATCTTGGTTTTGCCCAGCGCTGTCTTGCGAAACTTTTTCAGCGGAGGGCTCAAAGTGCACAACAAAGGCCGTGATCATAGAGCAGCGAGATGTTTTAAGCACAGGCCAATACAGGCCAGGACTCGTGATGTTTCTGTTGTGATGCATTCCTGGTAGATTGATTGAAGACAGCACGGGCAGAAACACTCCAGAACAAGTGATTGCTCGACTTCAGCACGGATCCCCTAACTGCCTTTCACTATGTGTCACCGAACGAGGACGGCTTGAAGGCTTTTTGATTCTAGGGGTGCCCTATTTATGTTCAGGCTCTTGGCCAACCATTGGCGGTAGCTGTGCTCTATCGAGCGCAGCTGTACAGATGTCTTAGCTGAAAGTCAGTGTAATATTCATTGATTACCCGTTGTCTTGACATGTTTTGCCGAAATCTCCGTGCGGAAGAATTGATCTTTACGCATCAAGACTCGCATCTCAAAATGAGCCCAACTTGGATAGCTCGCACAGTCAGGATGGTCCTTGCAGGGAAACCCAAATTGGGGGTACCCTTATGGGGGTCCCTGCAATAAGGATTCTAGTATGTGGGCGTCCCTATGTGGGGGTCCCCCCCATTTTTGGTAATTATCAGATAAGCACAAGCTCCACAGCAGAAAGTCAAACTCTGCAAGCCAATATTGTGGACCCTGGTCGTCCAAAAGCACTTAGCTGGTAGAGTTGACGGTCAATGTCTTATCGCGCGAGACAGGTGGCTACCCCGCTGCAGAACATTTCAGTTTTCTGGCTTCTGATCCTGCTTTTTTACGCGACTGGCTCATACTTGGAATGATGTTAAATTCATTCTTAGGGTCATAACATGTAACATCGCAAATGAGTTTCTTGCAAGTTATTAGTGAAGGAAAGGAAAAGAACATGGAGTCAATTATAACAAATTGCTGACTATATAGTAGCTGTTATGTGTGTGTATATATATATTTATGTATATCGAGAGACAGAGGCATATATCCATATATGTATATATATGTGTGCGTATGTATATTTGCGGGCAGCTGTAGTGGTCAATGGCTCCATTTCCTCCTAACAAGCTGCAAGTTTTTTTATACTATGAACTATATATATGTATATTTATATATATATATACACTACGAACCGAGGTGATGTTCACCTATTTCGCCGTCTTAAATGCATCGGGCTCAGTTGTCAAAAGTTTCAATCCGGACTGATTGAGGGGGGTTGCACGTGACACAGGTCGTCTAGATATTGACCTTTTGGTATCTCACAATATTATTGGAATGACAAATCCCGCTTTGGAAATCCCAACTGCTTCGGGTTCTGAAGCTCTGTAGTTGGACTGTTTCAGATTGACCAGGGTTGACTTCCGGGTTCCGTTGCCGGCAAGAGCCCCACTTTATGCTCCACACTTTTGCATGCTCCCGTCCAGCCAAGGGCTAGAGCCTTGTTCACGCTCATGTGGCGGGGCCCAGTAGACAAAGAATGATTCGAGAAGGGCTGACAATGTGCTCTTCTTGGACAAGGAGGGGCATCTTGTACTATCATAGTGGATGCTGATGCTTCACGTTTCAAGCCCTCGAACATTTCCTAGCTGCGCGCTGCACCAACTTCAATTGACTGCGGTTCTTTTCATAGGCGTACTTGTTGGGCCTGCAGGGATGTCAGTTCTCTTGCGTTGTTTCAGGCAGGTGGCTAGGTAGCCCTGGGTCCTAATGTCTGCAGTCAGGGCAGAGGCATGAGAGGCCTTTAGTGGCCCCCCGTTGCTCCGCCGAGGTCTTAACCGGAGTTTCCCTGCAGATGTTAGTCAACATTTTGCAGCTTGAGGAAAGCTTTTGTGCATAAATAAGACGAATCCACGAAAGTCATCAAACTTTGCTTCCATGACGCGCCCCAGGTGTTCTGCCAATCCGCCATTGAGTCTGCGCAGAATGACCATGCAAATCTGGTACAATCAATGTTGGCCAACAAGGAGACCCACCTTGAGAAGATTCGAATGCTCTTCAGCAAGCTGGGCGCCAACGAGACCGGGGCCATCACTTACCAGATGTTCTACGATGGAGTCCAAACTCCAGCTGTTCAGGAGTCTTCGCCGAACACTGTTCGGTGTTTGCTTGGAAGGGTGGTAGACGTCAGCGACATGTTGTTCAGGGACTGCGGTCCTTCTTTTCTTGGCATAGGCAGTTCAACACCTGATTGATCACAACGTCTTTTCGAAATCTCTATGCCTATTTCCGTGCTGCATAGGCAATGCCTAGCCCAGAATTGAAACCGTCGAATCCCTTCGAAGAGCTGCAAATGCAGCTCAACCCATTGCTCGCAAGAACTCCAGCAGCCGCATGAGCATGAGCGAAGCATCCACCTTTATCCACCCTTTCACCTGAGGAGTACTTGGAGACACTGGGATTGGATGTTTCTGGGTCAAATCTGGATGAAAGTTTGAGTGTTTGGCAAGCTGCGGCAAACTTTTTTGTGGTCCTGTCGATCAACAACAACAACAACAACATTCCAATCCAGGTTTGGGATGCGTGGAGTTTCTTCAAGATGCTGGATCTGGATGCTGGTGGGTCGGTTGAGATCGAGGAGTTCTTTAAAGGATGCCTGCGGCTGCGAGGCACTTCGTTGCTCCTGCTCTTGCTACTACTGCTGCTGCTGCTGCTGCTGCTGCTGCTGCTGCTGCTGCTGTAGCGTGCCTGCAAGGACAGGCTCGGAGCATCGACGTCGGCAAGATCCTCCATGACCAGGCCTCCTCGCCTGCTACTAAAAGAGTAAGAACATTGTAACACTCGTTGTTGCTGTCTGTGACCCTCCGTGGACGTCTTCATGTTAAGTTCGTGTCATTAAGCGCTAAAATTGTGAACTGAAATATTTGGAGCCATTTGCGCTTCAGAACTGGGATGTGGCAGGTCATGACCCGCCACCAGAAGGAGTAGAGGGCTTTCAGTATTAATCACATGTTTGCAGGTGGCATGTTGTTTCATGTGTAGGTCAGGTCAGAGAGCAGACTCTGCGCGATTTGGCCGTAATCGGACTGAATTAACCGTTCATTGAACGGCAATCAGGCAATAAGCTGTTCGGTTGCGCCCGTGGAATATGGCTAGTTCTGAAAATGAGTTTTTTTTTTTTTTTTTTT